AGCCCACGAAAGCTTATGCTCTAATAAATTTGTTAGTTAGTCTCTAAGGTGCCACAAGTACTCCTGTTCTTTTTACAAATTTAAACTCTCCACAGGGATCACTGAAATTCACAGCTCTTTTAAAAGATCCGGTAACAGCAGCTTAGGACAAGAAGTGAGCACTATTTTCATCTGCTTTAAACTTCAAGAAGAATCTTGATGAACAAAATGATTAAAGAATGTCACCCCAGCATCTGGTTTAATACCCCATTTCTTATGGGGATTATAATGTATCTTCAATTATCAAGAGTTGCCAACTCATGATACTGTCATGAATCAATTGATTTTTTTTTTAAAAGTAGTTCCTCATTTCAGGAACAGTAGGGTTTCTCTTGCAAATTTTTACTATTATTTAAGACTGCCATCTCCCAAGGCTTTCAATGAAATTGAAGTCAGATGGCCATCAGTGAAGTGGGGATTCTTGCTAGGTATTTCTTGGCTATCACTGTAGCATCTAAGCACCTCACAACCACTAAGGAATTTACCTGAACAAGGCTTTGTGGCTTTATATTATTTCCACTTTAGGTAGAAAATCTAAGTCACAGAAATGAAATAATTTATCCACAGCCACACACAAGTCTGACAGAGCAAGGAATTGCATGTTCCCTGGACAGTGTTTTAATCCTTCCCCAAGAAAGAGGAATCCTCTTCCACAACCTAACAGCAAGAGTGAGGCCTACATGCTGTGTGCAGGGCTGAATTTTAAATGGGAAATGATCACACACACCAAGGCTCAATGAATCAGAAAAAAATTAATGCAAACTTTTAAAATCTTATGATATTTAAGCCAACTTGATTTTTGTGGTCCAAGGATACATCTACACTGCAATTAGACACCGGCAGCTGACTAGGGCTCACAGAGCGGAGTATGCATTTGGGCTTGAGCTGGAGGCTGCGAGATGGAAGGATCTCAGAGCACTAGAGCACACAATTAAACAGCCCTTTAGCTTGCGCCCCATGAGCCTCAGTCAGCTGGCACAGGCCAGCCACGGGTGCCTAATTGCATAGACCAGCGATTCTCAAACTGTGGGTCAGGACCCCAAAGTGGGTTGCGATCCCATTTTAATGGTTGCCAGGGCTGGCATTAGACTTGCTGGGACCCCGGGTCTGAAGCCAAAGCCCAAGCCCCACTGCCCAGGGCTGAAGCCAAAGCCCTACGGCTTCAGCCCTGGATGGCAGGGCTCAGGTTGCAGGCCCCCCCCAGCTTGGGGCAGAAGCCCTTGGGCTTTGGTTTCCCCACCCAGGATGGTGCGGCTCACGCTTTGGCTTCCCCCACACAGGGCAGTGAGGCTCGAGCTTTGCGCCCCTCCCCACCGCGGGTCATGTAGTAATTTTTGTTGTCAGAAGGGGGTTGTGGTGCAATGAAGTTTGAGAACCCCTGGCACAGACATACCCCAAAGGCCTCGTTTTTGTCTCCTGTCCAAGGAATGTCACCACCAACAGCACAGCACCCTCTAGTGCTCTGCTCTAGTCTCCACTGGTTTACCAAATAGTAAGTGTGTAAACATAATATTCATGGGGGGGGAAGGATAGCTCAGTGGTTTGAGCATTGGCCTGCTAAACCCAGGGTTGAGAGTTCAATCCTTGAGGGGGCCATTTAGGGAACTGGGGTAAAAATCTGTCTGGGGATTGGTCCTGCTTTGAGCAGGGGGTTGGACTAGAAGACCTCCTGAGGTCCCTTCCAACCGTGATATTCTATGCTTTGGGAAAGGATGCTTATGGCACCTACCAAAAGAGGCTCTGACTACTACAGATAGATGAGGGATGGCAAAAATGTACATAACATTTGGACAGAAATGATCAAAAACAGCTTCCATCTCTCAATAACAAATACCAACAGTTAAGGTTTTGTGAGAAGATTCTCCTTTCCTCTTCACTTAGCTGAAGAGATTGGGGAAAGTGAGAAATAACTCTTAGAACTATTGCATTAACAGTTGCTTACAATTTAACATCCCTCCCTCCAAATTATTCACATTGACAGAAAATGTATTAAGTGTACCTGATTGGATCTTTCAGTCTGAATATGCTCCTCTAAATACCCTCTGTCTTTTCTCTTTTCTTCTAGACATTTTGCCAGCTGCTGACACATTTCTGCTGTGGATGCCAATCTACGTTGAAGTTGGTGAGTTTCATCAGTGAGTGAACGACACAGTACTTCACTTGTGGCCTGGACTTTCTCTCTCTCTTCCAAGCTTCTCTGGAGTCGTAAGATTTCTCTCTCTTTTTCATACTGTGGCTGGCTTATTATCTGCTGTATATCTCTGTCTTTTTCTTCTAGCTGCCGATTCAGCTTCTGCACTTCCTAAATATTGGGGGTAAAGTTGATGTATTTGAGACCATAAAATGAACTCTCAAGCCAAGAGGTTTATAAAAGTGAATTTTCTCATCATTGTTTAAGAATAACTTAAGTCCACTGTTCAGGAATGTCATAACTACCATATTTTGTTACCGTTAAACAAAACCACTCAGATAAAGTAATTTTTCATCAAGTTTCCTGAATGTGGTGTTGGTTTACAATGTCTTTCCAGTTCTCATTTTACATTTTCATTTTCATGAACATATGCTTATGCACGTATCCTAGGTCAGAAAATAGTTGGTATGCAGAAAAGGATCTGCCAATACACTATCAACTGCAGATTGTCCTGAAATATCAAATAAGAGGTTGGAAACAATCACTACAGGCTTTATTTTTTTTTTTAAAAGGAAAATATTTAATTGGGGCAGTTATCCCACTTTCTCAAAAACATACTACATACTTATACAAGGATGACATTTTATGCACTATAACTTATGCTTCTGATGCAGGCAGCATAGCCAGCTTGTAGTGTGCCAACCACTTTTAGGGTGCAATGAAAGACCTCTGTTCAGCTCTTCTACTCCAGGTGTCCCAAATTTATAAGGTGGTAGAAAATAATTTCCTTAAGCTATTAGGGACCATAAATTTCATCAAAGCAAATAGTATGCCTGATCCTGAGAGACAGCAAAGATAGTATTCTACACAGTAACTTGATCAGGAACAGTAATGACAGAGGAACAAACCCCACTCAGAATGTGTAACTCTATCCTGGGGTGGGTTATATCTGCCTGACAAATACCCGAGGGATCTGCATTTTCTTAACTTTGGCAATGCTTGTATATCTTGTTGTACCAATAAAGTTTCATGGAATTGGAAGCTCTGGAACATTACCTCCCTTAACACATGGAAGCCCCTCTGAGTGGTTTGAAGGGATTGGGATTTATTGGGGTACAGAGGACAGCCAATCTCTGGCATCATCATGTACTTAAATTGAAAATGAAATTTAGAGTACCTGTATATTAACACTGACCCAGTGAGCACTAACTTCCTATGTTCCCACTTAAACTGTTAGGGGGTGAAAGAGACTGGAGGACAACAGCTGTAAAGAAAGCCAATGGAACATCACTCCCCTAGAATCTGCTAGTATGTCTACACAGCATTTTGGAGCAAGCAGGAGTGAGCCTCCAGCCCAGACATGGGCTGTGGGTGGGGGGGGGGGAAGAGGGGAGTGAGAGAGATCAGGCTAGTGCTCTAAAAAAAAATAGCTGTCTAGACAGCGCTTTGAAGTTGCAAGGCAGGCTCTGAAGCCTAGGGAGTGGGGTGGGCTTCAGAGCCCAAGCTCAGCCCAAGCCACAACTTCAAAGTGCCTTCTATACAGCTATTTTTAAAGTGCTAGAACAAGCCCTGCTACCATAAGTCTGTGGACCCAGGCTGGGAGGTTCACTCCCACACACATTAGACATACTGTACCCACAAGTTGCCCTGGATCCCAGGGTAGACCGGAGGTTATGGAGGCAAAAGCCACAGTACATCTTGCAAAATATGTCCTGTTTTTTGGAGGTGAAGGGGTGGGGGTGGAAGATTGCAATGCAATATCCCTGCTAGTTCCTCAGATCAAATCTTGGTCCTCCAATGGAAGAATACAATGGAAAAGCAGAGCATAAACTCAGTTTCCAAGCCCCATGTGTAAAAACCTGTATAGGGGCATTATCTTGGCCTTTAGCTTGGCAATGGTGACACAGGTTACCTCTCGAGAGCCTTGTAACAAATTGTGTTTAAAATGTTCATTTCTAAAATCAAAGCTTATACTGACTAGTGCAGTTTTACAGCTGCAGCAGAAAGCACTTGTCATTTTAAATGTTAACTGCAGTAATTGGAAAATGAAATGCTGCCATGTACTTACTGTAGATTGGTGCCTTTGAGCATTTAAGGGAAAGAATACACTGTCTGGGATTCAGAACAAACCCACAACTATATCAAACCCAATACAGATACTGAATGTTTTAAAAGGATTCGACAGGCTTAAAAATCCACTTGAACAAAAGGTTATTTCTAGTTATGCTTTGTTGGCTGGTGTTGCACTTCCTAAGTAGTTTATGGCATAAGACATTCATCAACCTGCCTCACTAGGTACTCAGACAGCAGAGTGCTGAGGAGCTGTAAATACCTAGACATATCCCAAGTTGCACACTGTATAGAACAGTGAGATCATGTCTTATTACAAGTCTCAAAGCCTGAACAGCAGCATTTGGGAAACATTCTTGTACTGGCATTATGTCAAGAGATTTCTTTGTCACAAGACTATTTGTTTCAGTTTCCAATATTTTCTGGTTTGGAACTCCCTTCAAGCGCACCAGACTGCTTCATTACAAAGAGAAAAATTTTAAACAATTTAATTTCAAATGAATAGTTAACAGTAAACACTTTTTCCGGAGTGTTAGAAAGATGTTTTTAACCAGAAAGGAGGAAAGTTGAGATTCCTCCCTTTCCCCCACAACTAATTGCCAACTAGTTGCAAATGTTACAACTGAAATGCTAGGTCTGGTGTACAGATGGGCTGATGAACAGTTCAAGAAGCAGACAAACAAAGGAGGAAAAAGGAAGAACTAAAAAATCCCATTTAAATGCCTTTTAATCAAAAAATGTTGACACTGGATTTATGTTATGGAGTGAAAAATAACTGCTTGCAATAAAATATTTAAAAAATGTTGAGCTCATCTTTTCCAATAATCTCTTCCACTCTTTGTGCAAACTAGTGAGATTACATAAAGATCTACACTAGCTAGTGTGCTAGCTGTAAATCTGATCTGGATAGCAGCATAAAAAATATCATTAGATTACATTTAGACATACCATTTAGATTTCCTAGTCTCTGCAATTTCTATATGCTACATCTCTGGCAACTACTTTTTGCTTAACATGACATGTTCCCACAATTCAATCAGTGCCCTGAAGTGCATGGTGATTATACATTGGTTATATTAAATGGTGCTGTCTTGAAAGACTACAGGTTACCTTGTGGTTGCAGAGGGTTTGGCAAACGTGACTTCTGGGCTCTAATCCAAGCCCCTTCACCAGCTTGTTGTGTGACATTGGGTAAGTCACCTAAACCAAATTCACCATCTAGAGCTTCTAAAGTTAGGGTCCTAAATCGATATTTAGGCATCTAAATTAGTGACCTAAACTAAGGGGAGGGTGTTTAGAAATAACACTCTTTTTCATATTAACTGGGGTTAAATTCTGTCCTGGCCCACAAGTGTGCAACTTTTTGAAGACAGACTAGAGCTCAGCCCTTTGCAAGGGACTGCCAGGGGAAGGCACTCTTCTCTGTAAATACAAATGTTATTTTGGTACATTTGTGTTTTTACCTGGCTCAAAGTTTCCACCTTCTGTGCTGAAATTCTCTCGCTGTCTTTAAGCTGCTGCTTCATTTGGCCAAGCTGATCTATTAAACTTTCCACTAGAGATTTAGCAGGTTCAACAAACTTTCCCCCAGGGGGCGGTGGCTGCTGCCCCTCTTCCTGTGCTGCTCCCAGTTGGGCAGCCTGGTACTTGGCCACGCTCGCCCTCAGCTCCCCGATCATCGCCTCCTTGGCGGAGAGCTGCAGTTGAAGGTGCTTCAGCTGCTGCCCGGACTCATGATACAGGTTGCAGATGGCTTTGTACCGAGGCACTTTGCTCTTTAGGTTCTTGTTCTCCAGGTGCAGCTTCTCCACGGTCTCCTCCAGCTGCCTGCACCGGGCTACCAGGGGGTCCGTGCTGCTGTCCTCGTTCACTGAGCACATGGTGGGGCAAAGAGAGCACAGATCACCCCGCGGCCACTTCTCTTCCTCCAGCAGGGTGAACAATAACCCCCCCAGCTGCATATAAATCCGAGGGGAGCCAGGCAAGGGCCGAGGTGCTGTTAGTTCCGCTCCCTTCAGCCGTCTCCTCGCCGCCGCTCGGGAGCAGACACGAGCCTGTCGGCGCTAGCTGGGCGCGGCCCCCACCGCCTCTTATCGTCCAGCCAGGCGGCCGGGGCTGCTCGGCACCGCCAGCAGGGAGGGGCCGCCCACGGGGGCGGGGCCCGCAGCCCCGCGCGAGGGGAGGGGAACTCCGGGGCGGGGGAAGGCGCGAAGCGAGCCCCCCGGTGGGGGGGGGGTCTGGGATCCCGCTCGGGGGGGGCTGCTGGGGGAGGGGGCAGCCCAGCCTTGCGTAAGGCCCACGGTGTCCCAGCCGGAGCTGCCCCCGGGAATTTCCTGGCGGGGCTTCCCCGCAGCGGGCGCTAGGCGGCAGCTCCCGGCCGTTCCCCGGGGACCGGCCAGCAGCGAGGCGGCGCCTCTTCCCACCTCCCTTCAGCGCCGGGCTCCGGCCTGGGGCGCACGCGCAGACGCGAGGGGAGGGGCGAGTCTGCGCCGGCGCAGTGAGCATGGCTGCGGGGCGGGGGGGCGGAGCCGGCAGAGCGCGCTGGGCTACCCAGTGCTCGCCGGGGCCGCGCTCATCCCCTTCCCGCGCGGGGCCGCCAGGGGGTGCTGGCGCTCGGGGACAGCGACCCTGCCCCCGCGGGAGGCCGAAGGGTTGCCAGTTTGCGCCGGCTGTGTTCGTGGAGGTTGCACCACGTGACATAATCGGGGCAAGATTAATCTTTAATGCCTGGAGACTCCAGGACAAGCCTGGAGGGCTGGCAACACTACGGGAGGGGTGGGGACTCGGAGCATCGCCCGGTGGGGAGCCGCGGTGTGCCCCAGGCCGCTGGGCAGCGGCTGGCATGGTGCCCCTTTGCTAGGCCAGTTTGTTAGTGATCGCTGTGCCTAGGCACGTCTAGGGTTACCATTTTTTAAAATAACAAAAAGAGGACGCTCCAAGGGGCCCTGCCCAAGCCCTAACTCCTCCCCCTTCCCCGGCCCCACCCCAACTCCGCCCCTTTCCCAAAGTCCCCGCCCCAACTCCGCCCCCTCCCCTGAACGCTCCGCCCCCTCCCCTGCTTCCTGCGAATCAAATGTCCGCGTGAAGCCTGAAACAGGGAGGCAGGCAGCAGGTAAGCTGGGGTGGGGGGGCGCAACCCAGTCCGGCCCCCGGCCGAGCGGCTCGGGCCCAGCTCGGGCCCTGGGGCGCCAGCCCCAGTTCCAGCTGAGCGCCCCGGCCCCGGCGGTTGCAGCTTGGCCCAGGCCCCGGGTCACTGGCCCCGGCCGAGTGGCTCCGGCTCGGGCCCCAGGGCACTGGCCCTGGTTCCGGCCGAGCGCGCTGGCCCCGGCCAAGCAGCTCCGGCCTGCCCCGGCCCCGGCGGCTCCAGCTCGGCTCGGGCCCCGGGGCACGGGCACTGGCCCCAGCTGAGGAGCTCCGGCCCCGGGGCACCGGCCGAGCGGCTCCAGCCCCGGCGACTCCAGCTCGGATCGGGCCCCGGGGCACCGGCCCGTCCAGCACCGGCGCTGACCAAGCACCGCCGACCCCAGCACAGATCCAAGCCCCACGATCCCTCCCTATTTTCCCGGACATGTCCGGCTTTTTGGAATTTCCCCCCGGACAGGGATTTGACGACCAAAAAGCCAGACATGTCCAGGAAAATCCGGACGTATGGTAACCCTAGGCAGGTCAGTACATTGACAACCATCTTCGGAAAGAATTGAGGACGCCAGGAGTTTCATGAAATGGCTCATCCACATGCACGAGTTGTATCAGTGTCATTATACCGGTGTATCAATTCGCCTGCTACCGGAATTGGCCTTGATCTCCTGGTCGGTGGCTATTGAAAGCAATCCGGGAGATTTTAATAGGCTGCTAAAAGTCCAGTGGGTAGGGCTAAGGCAGGCTCGCTACCTGCCCTGGTTCCGCCCAGCTCCTGGACGTGATCAGCACTTCCCTCTGGCTCCTAGGCGCAGGGGTGGCCAGGGGATCTCTGTGTGCTGCCCCTGCCCTGAGTGCTGACTCCACAGCCAATGGCAGTTCTCGGCCAATGGGAGCTGCGGGGGGCAGTGCCTGCAGGCAGGGGCAGTTTTCAGAGCTGCCTGGCTGCCCGTGAGCCTAGGAGCCAGACATGCTGGCCCCTTCCGAGAGCCTCCTGAGGTAAGTGCCCGGCCAGAGCCTGCGCTCCTCACCCCCTCCCATACCCCAACCCCCAGCCCCTCCCACACCCAAACTCCCGGAGCTCGCACCCTGCACCCCAACCCCCTGCCACAGCCTAAAGCCCCCTCCCACACTCTGAACCCCTGCCCCAGCCTGGTGAAAGTGAGTGAGGGCAGGGCCGGCTTTAGCAAGTGCAGGGCCTGATTCGTACTCACCCGGCGGCGCTCCGGGTCTTCGGTGGCACTTCAGCAGCAGGTCCTTCACTTGCTCCGGGTCTTCATGGCACTCAAGGACCCACCGCCAAAATGCCACCAAAGACCCGGAGCGAGTGAAGGATCCGCTGCCGAAGACCCAGAAGGCCGCCGGGTGAGTAAAAATTAAAAAGGCGCCGGCGCGGGGCTCGATTTGGAGGAATCGGGAGAATCGGCCTAAAGCCGGCCCTGCGTGAGGGTGGGGGAGAGTGAGCAACGTGGGGGGGGGGGGGGGGGGAGTGGGGGCGGGGCCTCAGAGAAGGGGCAGGGCAAGAGTGTTGGTATTTGTGTGATTAGAAAGTTGACAACCTTAGTGGGCCAAACCTTTAAATTGTGGCCCCTGCTCCCAGCAGGCACCAGTCGTCTGTGGCAGAAGCCCCTAGCCCCACTGTAGGGCAGAAGCCCCAAACTCCCCCATTCCCAGTAGGCGAAGAGTGGGGGGACATGAGGGATTCTGCGAGCCAGATTTTAACTGTAAAAGAGCCGCATGTGGCTTGTGAGCCACATTTTGGCCACTCCGGGTTATTCCCAGGCAGGAAGGGGAATAAACTATACAAGATGTAGGGCACCTTTAGATCAGTATAAATATGCTCGCTCTCAGGGGCTGTATGGTATAACATCAGTTTAAAAAAAATCCACACTTTTAACTGAAATAGTTATACCAGTGCACAAACTGTGTTGACCAGGCCTGATAAATCTAATTCAAGCCAAAAAAGCAGCCTGTCTATTCCTTTGTAAAACACTGAGAAACTCCAACCTTAACTGTGAAGCCATGACTACATGGCTCCATAATACTGACAATGTGCCAGACTATCATTGACCTCCATGTGAGTCTAAAGCTATGGCTACACGAGAGAGCTTACAGTGGCACAGCTGCACTTGTGCAACTGCGCTGCTGTAACCTCTCTAGTGTAGCCACTCTAAGCCAATGGGAGAGAGCTCTCCCGTCAATCCACTCCCAACGAGCAGCGGGAGAAGCTGTCCACACCAGTGCTTAGGTCAGTGTAATTTATGTCGCTCCAGGGGTGGCTTATTCACACCTCTGAGCAACATAAGTTATACTGACATAAGCGGTAGTGGTGACATACCCTCAGTAAAACCAGACTAGCAGCCTCAGCATTTGACCCTGTGAAAAGGGACATACGGGATTTAAGTTAGTCGTTATATGAAAACAGAAGCACATCATTCCATTGCCTCAAAGAAGGACAGGAAGGAGCTTGAGCTTAATTAGAAAAGTAGTGTTTGAAAATACTTTATTGGCACAACTAGCTATACAAGTATTGCCAACATGTAAGGTCACAGAAGACCTTCTGTAACTAATAGATACTGTATACCAAGCATTTGCCCAATACACAGCATGACAATGTTTGATGTTTAATCCATTTTGTCCAAGAGAAACTATTCAATACCATTGAGAATATCTCTACTGCAGCATGATCAGGGACAATGAAAAATTATGGGACTGAAAAGTTGAGGTAATTGCAAATTCTTCTTCAAGTAGTGTCCTTGTGAGGGCTCCATTCTGGGTGCACTCTTGCCCCCTCCACCTTTCATTGGTGATAGCTGTTTGACCCGCCCATGCATTACTCAGTCTTGTGCTCTGTGCTGTTGCTATATAGCACTGTATGGGCAAACTGCCTTCGGTTCCTGCCTCAACCTGAGACAGAGCCTTAGCAGTTGTCCACGTTAAGTTTTAGCTCAATTCTGTCCCCTTAGCTCTTTTAGTAGTTAGTTTATTATACTTGTTCTTAATAGTAGTTGGTACTTAGTAGTAGTTTTAGCTGTAGTAGTTTAAAAAAAACTTAACCTCCCGCAACTTTTTATATATAGTTTTTTAGATAGTTTCTCCCTTGGGAGTTTTACTTTACTGGGAGGGTGCATCTGGTTCTCCCAGTTTTGAATGTTGTCTGTCATGCCGGGAGGCAATCCCCATGAGTGACGGACACGCCCAGTGCTTCTGTTGCCTTGGAGAATCTCATATTTCCCAAAAGTGCAACTTCTGTCTGGCATTAAAATCTAGAGCCAGAAAAAACAGGGAGATCACATTTCAACTCCTCATGATGGAGAGCTCACTGCACCTGGCCTATAATCCAGGCTGGGAGAGCCCCCCGTATGCCAGTCTCCAAGTAAATCAGCTACCTGTATCATCTCCAAGGCTCACTCACCAAAGACCTCTCATAAGCCTTCCAAACACCATACCACAAGTGCTCCTGGTAGGAGGTTGCCAGTGGAAGTAAAGGTTACTGGTGACTCCAGCCATTTCGGCTCCTATTCGTCTATGACATGGTACCCAAGAGGCTGCTGGTACCTCATTCCTCAGGTACCAAGAGCTCTGTTAAGCCTAGAGACCCCAAAATTTTGGGCTCTAATAGACCATTGGTACTGACAGGGGAGCCAGGCAGCAAGAAGAGATCTACCTCTTCAGACTCAGTACCAAAAAAAGACCACTTGGTCGCCATCTGGACTCCCATCAGGGCATTTGAGATTCATAGTACTGTCAGCTCTCTCTGCTACGATTACTTTGGCTCAAGCTATGGACATGGCTATGGGCACAGGTGCCCGAATCATGGCCCCACCCCCCCCCACACCATGCAGCCCCTTTGCCCTGAGCCCCTGTCCCTTCCCCCCAAAGCCCCACCCTTGTGCTGCCCCTTCCCCCCCCCAGATCCTGCCCCTGCACTGCCTCTTCCCCTAAGGCCCCACTTCCACACCACCTCTTCCCCCCCAAGACCCCATCCCCCACTCACCCCCTCCGCCCCCTCTCCCCATCACTCACCCTTATGGCCAGTAAAAAGTTGGGGGTGCCATGGCCCCCTGGACCCTCTGTTCCAGCACCCCTGAACTCGGAAGATATTTTTGGTAAAAACTTGGGGTGTGGTCATAATGTGACCTTGTCTTTGAAAAATATTATGAAAGGGGGGTATGCCATAAGGGCCCCTATTTCCCCCAACTCGTTGAGCTGACATGATGGCTACCAGAAACACTGTTTTCATTGACAAATGTAGGAGTGAGCAGGTAGCCATCAGTTCAAACAGAGAGCTTGTAAGATGTTTAAGAACCAGATTGAGGTCCCAAACCAGAGTATGATGTTTGACTAGTGGAAAGAGATTTCTGAACCCCCTGAGGAACCTCATCGTTGATGGATGCACAAATACAGAATAACCTTCTATTGAAGAATGGAAACCCGTGATGGCTTCCAGGTGGACGCTAAAAAACTCAGCAACAGCCCCAAGTTTTTTAGTTCTAGAATGTAATCCAATATGTCTGCTGCAAAATGAAGTTGTCAGTGGAATGTGTTTGAGGTCACACCAGCAAGCAAATTGTGCCCATTTTTATAAGTAAGTGTAATGCGTACATGTTTTTCTGCTGTGTAATAGCACTCTTTTTACTTTCTCTGAACAGGTTATTTCTAATCCCATGAACCATTGACCAGCCATGCTTTGAGGCAAAGAACTCCGATCTTGGGATGAAGGATCTTCCCACGTTCCTGGGAGAGAAGATGAGGAGCTACCTGGAGAGTGATTGGCCAGCTGTATCAAATAAGGAAACAATGTTTGTCTAGGCTGGGTTGGGACTCTTAGAATAACTCTGGATTTGTCCTTTTTTATTTTTTTAGTAGGACTTTGGTAGAGGAGTTGAGGGGAACACATACAGTAGACCTGATGACCACTGAAGGTGAAAGGCATCCCCCAAGGATCAGTGGTTCAGCCCGCCTCCGGAGCAGAACTGGGCGCCCCATTGCCGGAATAGTGATGAAGTATGATGAGATCTATCTCCCACTCATGGTCTTGAGAGTAGTGCCTGCTGAGTGTGTCTGCTGTCACATTCTGAACTCCTGGGAGGTAAGCTGCTGTGATGATGATCTGATTGTGTATGCATCAATTCCAAAGTTTGACAGCTTTGGCTCAAAGGGCGGGGAATCTTGCTGGTTGATATAGGACATGCATGACATGTTGTCCATCATGATCTTTATGTGTTTGCCCCTGATTACTGGTAAAAACTGGAGACATGCACATTTGACGTCCCTGAGTCACAGGAGGGTGATATGCAGAGTGGTTTCCTGAGGCATCCACCTGCCCTGGGCCCTGTGGGTGTCCAGATGTGCTCCCCATCCTAACAGGGATGCATCCATTGTTATGATAACTGCTGGGGGAGGGCAGGTGAAAGGGACTCCTGCACAAACGTTGTGAGGGTATTTCCACCAATTTAAAGATTCCTTTATGAAGGTGGGTATGGAAAGTAGTGGAGTTAGACTGTGTCTGTTTGCTGAATAAACAGTCCCGAGCCACTGTTGAAGTCATTGCGTTCACAATCTTGCATGATCTATAACGAAAGAATTAGCTGCTATATGCCCCAACAGCTGAAGACAGTTCTTCACTGGGGTTTGAGGGCTGATCTGGATTAGGTTGACTATGTTGGAGAGGGCCATGAATCTGCATTGGGAGGCAGGCTTTTGTTGCTACTGAATCAAGATGAGCTCCTATGAATTCTGACTTTTGCAGAGGGGCCAGGTGAATTTTTGAATGATCAATTGCAGGCCCAATTTGAGATAGAGATCTATGGCTTTGCAAGTTGCCCGTGAAGTTAGGCCCAGGGAGCGACCTTTCAGAAGCCAATTGTCTAGGTAAGGGAACACCAGTATTCCTTTTCTGCGGAGCTGTGCCACTACTACTGGCATGACCTTTGAAAAGATCCTGGGGCAGATGACAGGCCAAAAGGGCACTCCCTGTACTGAAAATGGGCCTGAGAGTAAAACACAGGAATCTTTTTTGTGTGACGGGTGGATCGCTATATGGAAATAGGCATCCTGAAGGTCGAGGGCTGTGAATCAATCCCCTTGGTCCAGTGATGGAATTATTGCTGCAAGTGCCACCATTTTGAATTTTTGTGCCTTCACAAAGGTGTCACATAGCCTTAAATCTAGGAGGGGTCTCCAACTGCCACTCTTTTTTTGGAACCAGGAAATGTCTGGAATAAAACTCCTTCCCTCTGTGCTGCCTGGGAACTGGTTCTGTAGCACCCAGGAGTAGAAGAGAGTCTATTTCCTGTTGTAGCAGATTCTCGTGGGAGGAGTTTCTGAAGAGGGACAGGGAAGAGAGGTTGTCAGGTAGAAGAGAAGTGAAGTGAAGGTGATGGAGTACCCTGTGGAGATGATCTCCAAAACCCACTTGTCCATAGCGATGGACTTCCAAGCCTGCCAGAAGTGGTAAAGGTGGTTGTCGAAGGGAGGAAGGCAGATGGTATGGAAGTTTTTGGCAGCTCAAAGCCTGGATCACCCCATCCAAATTGGTGCTTCAAGGTGGAGGTTGTGAGGTCGAGGGTTGGGAGGTGGGTGGTTTTCTCATCAGGAACCTCTGTCCCAGGCGTTGAGGTTCATATGACCTGTGCAAACTTGAGAATAGGGCGGGCTGGGATCTCTGTGTTGTCTGGGGCCTGCTAAACTTTCTCTTTTGGGTAGATGTATAGATCCCCAGAGAACATAAAGTGGCCCTGGAGCCCTTTAACATGTGCAGAGATTCACCTGTGCTGTCAGCCATCAGTTTAGTGACATTAAAAGGAAGGTCTTCAATCATGTTCTGGACCTCCTTTGGAAATTCCGAGAGCTGAAGCCAGGAGGCCCTGCTCATATCTTCTGCTGTAGAAATCTAACGAGTGGCAGTATCAGCAGTATCGAGAGAAGCCTGCGGAGAAGTTCTGGCAAGCAGTTGGCCTTCTGCAATAATTCCCTGGAATTGCTTTGTGTTCTGCTGGTAGATGTTCAGTAAAGGAGTTCTGGTCGGTATAATTTGTGTGGTTGTACTTTGCCATTAATGTCTGGTAGCTGGTTATTCTGAATTGTAAAGTAACTGACAAATATGATTTTTTACCAAACTGATCGAGGTACTTATGATCTTTATCATAGGGTGTAGATTTAGCATGGTGCTGCCTTCCATATTGGTTAACCACCTCAGCTACCAAAGAGGAGAGGAATACGAATTCTGAATCCTCAGAGAGGATTTGTCCACTCTCTTGCAAGTAGGAAGAATTGAGGCCAGGGTGTGCCAGATAATCTTTGCAGGGTCCAGGCATGCCTCAATAACAGGTAGGGAGATGCAGGCAGATGAAGCTGTATTGAGGATGTCAACCAACTTATGATGTGGTTCTTGATTCTTGAACCTCCTCAAAGGGAATCTGCAAAGAATCCATGAGCCTCTTGATAAGGTCCTGGAACTGTTTAAAATTGTCAGCCAGGGAGGTGCCCATTAGCCAGACCCTACAAGCTGGGAGTTGCCTCCTGCTGGGAGTTGTTGAACTGTTTCCATCTGATAAGGTCTGTTCACCAGGGCCCAACGGCCTCTCCCAGGAGCGGCAGCCACCCCCACGCCACCCCACCCCTGCGCCACGCCGCCCCCCGAGGCCCTGTCTTCGCACTGACCATTTCCCCCAAGGCTCTGTCCTCACACTGCCCATTCCACCCCCCACACTGAGTTCCTGCCCTCACACAGCCCCTTCTCTCTGAGGCCCCCCTCCCGCTCCAAGATCCCTCTCGCTCCTCTCTGCTCCCTTCCCCCAGTTGCTCACTCTTACTGCCGGTAAAAAGTGGGAGGGCCATGGCCCCCTGGTGCCCCCTATTCCAGTGCCCCTGGCCTCTGCAGTCCCAGGTTGTGGTTTGCCTTGTCAGCCTCCAGTGTAGCTGTATGATGTTCGGGGGTGGCAGCAGTGTGGGAGGCACTAAAGGTCTGCTGTGAACTTCTAACGGGATACGAGGTGGGGGATAGAGGACTGAAGCTTTGCCTAGGGCAGTAGACTGTCTTGGGTGGCCTCTGATACCAGATACTCTAGAGCAGTGGTTTCCAAACTGGGGTTCATGAACCCCTGGGGGTTCACAAAATGTTACAGGGGGGTCTCAGGAAAAAAAATCCCTAATGACGGATAGAGCTATTCCTAGGGACCAGCAGCCTGGGACCAGCAGCCCGGAGCCCCTGGACTTCCAAGAACTAAGCAGATCAGAGCAAGCATCTCTGTCACACTGAGGAGATTTAAACTTCAAGACTCCTTATAAGAAATGGAAAGGGAGGTGGATATTTTTGGCTGTTTTTAAAATAAATAGGCAGCTAGTATTGTTTTTAAAATTATTATGAAGAAGAAATTTAAGCTTTGTTGTAACGTGTGTTGTTTATCTGGACTGCTCAAGATCTGAATGCTTGTGTAAGAGGAACTCTTTGAGTTGGCTTCTTAGATACCTTCATGCTGTTTCACATCTGATACTCCTTGATGAAACATAGGAGCCTTGTCTTATAACAGGCTTATTCAAAGTGATACAAGCTACGAAAGTGAGATCTTGGAAGAGTGGTGCCATTTTCATAATTAATAAAAATAGTGTAATGATAAATAATAATACTGTGTAATAAGCATGTCATAAAAACAAATTTTATATTTCCAAGATCACTGCTTTTATCATTTATACTCAGGTAAAAGAGAAAATCCCTGGAAATATTCGTTTTTAGGATGGGGTTCGCGAGACTTGACATTTTGGTGAAAGGGGTTCACAGGTTGTTAAAGTTTGGGAACCACTGCTCTAGAGTCTTGTCTGTAGTCCAGGGGTCGGCAACCTTTCAGAAGTGGTGTGCCGAGTCTTCATTTATTCACTCTAATTTAAGGTTTTGCGTGCCAGTAATATATTTTAACGTTTTTAGAAGGTCTCTTTCTCTAAGTCTATAATATATAACTAAACTATTGTTGTATGTAAAGTAAATAAGGTTTTTAAAATGTTTAAGAAGCTTCATTTAAAATTAAATTAAAATGCTGAGCCCCCCGGACCCAGGCAGTGTGAGTGCCACTGAAAATCTGCTCGCGTGCCAAAGGCGGCACGCGTGCCATAGGTTGCCTACCCCTGCTATAGTCTTTCACTCAACCTGCTAATAATTCATGTGAAAACTACAAACTGCTGTGCCTTCACTAGGATTTTACCCAAGTTAGCTAATTCAAGTTAAGAGAACACCTCTTATTCCTAATGAAGCCACAGCATAAGCTGTCATGTTTTTTAACTCTTCCTCTCTAATTTGCAAGCTCTTCTATTGTGAACACAGTCTTCACAATATAAGCCTGTTGTAGGTAAACAAAAGTGGTGTCAAGGTGAATTTTTTTTCAGTTGCTACTAATGTGGGAAGACTGGGAATTAAAATAGGAACATTCAAAGAATTAAAAGAACAAGGAAATCCCCAATCTCTCTGTAGCCCAGTTAATGTGATGGAGAAGTTGGTGGCAAAGACTATTGTGCTTAATGTTAGCATATAAATGACCACACTTAAGAAGCATGCTAATAAAATTTGCAGATCATACCAAACTGGGAGGTGTTGTCAATGCTAGGGAAGACAAAGAGGTCATATAAAGGAAAATAGGTTTGGAAAAATAGGTCAAAAATAACAAAATAAGGTTCAGCAGTAACAAATATAAGATACATCTGGAGAAAATCCAAACCACTGCTATTCAATGGAAGGGGTGATTGTGGATAACAAATTAGAGAAGAGTTTGCAATATGATATACTAGATGTAATCTGGGACTGCATGTTGGAGAGGCAGCACCAAATGATGATAGTCCCTCTTTACAAACTGTAATAAGGCCACACCTAAAATGCTTCATTTAGTCCTAGAGACTTCAGTACTAGAAACATAAAATCAACTGGAAGGAATTCAGAGGAGAGCAACACAGGCTTATAAATATAAAAGATGGTTTCACTTGTATAAATAAATGATGGGAAAACCTGGAAAATTCCAGAGTACTATAAACATATTCTGTGTCTCATTACAATGGAGAGTAAATCATTTTAAAATGTAAAACTACAGTTAGCAATCAAATGGG